AATTGGCTACATTGCAAAAACATTTCTGATATACAGAGTTTAATAATAATACTACTGCTGCTACTACTAATATCAACTAGGTAACTTAAGAGCGTGGTTTTAAGTGCTACATTATCTCGCGAAGTATTGTGCCATAAGTCAATACTAGGTATTCAATAAAGCGACTGACATGGCCACAATACGATAAAGTGATGAAGAGTATGTTTATATAAAACCTAGTTCAATAGAAGTAGTCACGAGCTCCTTATTATGTGCGCTAAATGCTGGGCCGAACCTAATTAACGTGGTCACTTTCAAGTTTTGCTTAATGTTTATTTCACTGATACGAACACCTCGAAGTAGCAGTTAAGGCGTACCACGCGCTACAATTTGTCTATCAGAAAAAAAAAAATCGCCTCCCAGCCAAAGTGTCCAACAACTTAAAAAAAAAAATCAAACTCGCACATCAAAGTGACTGATGAAAGATGTGGTTAGGAAGAACTTAAGAACGACACTTTGGGGAAGAGTTTGAATATGAGAAACTGCGCCATGTAGTGCAATGTTACGGCATAACGGTGAAGAGCTCGAACAAAAACGGATCATAAAAATAAGCTACAGCAAAGATATTATAAAGTTTTCTCATACGGTGGTCTAGGTGACGGTGCTGGTGGCTGGAATGGTGGACCAGGGGGGCTGAAAATGTGGAAATGATAATGCGTTGGCTCTATAACACTCCTGAGCAATCTTGAACGAAATGGTCAAGAGACGCTAGACAATTCTTACGGTGGTCTCGCCACCGGAGGAAGTCCTGGAGGGGGCCTGGATGGAGGAGGTTGGGGTGGTCTGTATGAAAGAATTATTTCTGGTTAATGCATGGCACGTTATGCGAACTGATCAACAGTGGAGTAGGGTAGTGTATTCTGATTGCTTACGAAGGTCTGGCAACGGGAGGAGGAGGAGGAGGAAACGAGGGTGGTGGTCGAGCTGCAGGTGGTCTGCAAATTATTGTTCATTTATACATGAAGATTCTAAGTATGCATGCCGTAGAAGTGGCTACCTTTGCAGTTGTCTATCTCAACATTACTATAAGAATATTTCTCGGTGACAAAAAAAGCCATTACTGCATACTAATATGTGTAAAATATTTAAGCATGATTTGATGCATAGGGTGTCTGGCAGCGACACAGCAGCGATAAGTTACACAGATTAAATTTCTACTGAAATATTTTTATTGATATTTGGGAAGTTCACAATAACAACTGTTCTTTATACACTACTGATTAATAAAAAAGCGAAGGAACTTTAGTTCTGTGAATGGGCATAAATATATTTTAAGACAAGCATGCTTATAGGTTTCTAATTTATTAGGCCACTGAAACTTAATGGGACTTTACAAAACTTCAGGCTTCACGGAAATTGTCGTTAACCTAATGAAATATGAAACGTTTTCTGCAGATATATTTGACTAAACAATCAGGAGAAACGAGCTTCTTGGAAAAAGCTTACTGCCATCGAGCTTTCTATCAGCCTCATTTTTTCTGAGTAACAGTAGAATGTTGTCATCTGCCTTCATGTAAACGAAATCACATTTCACGACAACTGTTGATTACTTGAGAGTAAGATAAATTCTTTGGCTGATTAGTTTATTACAATTGTCTACTAACGCTCAAACTACGGCTTCCGAAAACCTTGAAAACACGTGAGGAAAAAGAGAAACGCTTCTTTCGTTCTAAGACCTTAAAACCAAATACTGACTCGTGGGACAAATGCTACGAAGCACGTTAAAATGCACGTTGAAAGAAGGTTACGAAAGTATTTTTTGCTGTCACTCTGACATCTACTGCATAAAAATGATAACTCTCGTAAGTATAGAACTTGTGTGTGGTCCCAACACCAGCACAATCATTTATCAGGAAAGAAGATTTTTTGGCGAAAAATCCGTATGGTTTCCTTGGTTTGTGCTACAAACAGGCGGTTGTCAATCCTCAATTTCATAACTAATCTTATAGCTTTTAGCAAAACTCATTCGCAGTATTCATGGAGCAACGTCTATTTTGAAAAACATTTGGGTCATGCCGACCGCATGTCTCAAAAAAAGTTACATTCTGCTTTGAAAAGCAATTATGTTTAGCACATGTTAAAGGAGGAATCAGGGAATACTATGTAAGTGTTTATTTACAACCAGCTTGCTATATAGTATGAAAAGTAGGCCCAAATGTACCATAGACCCGCTAAATGGAGTGATGATGCTTTAATTGCAGAATAAGGGTCGTGCGTACTAAACGTTGATTTGTGAAAGACAAAGATTTTCTTCTGTCACTTTATACATGCTAATATATATATGCCAAACTATAGTCACAGAAAACAGAAAATTGATGTAATAGCTATAAGAAGAAACGATGAATTATATTCAGCTATAGCTGCAAACCAGATGTATATAGACTCCCCAACAGATATGTACAATCCTAATTTGCAGGTGTTGGCCTCCATTCAGGGACTCTTCCTGTATAGTGTTATAATGCGCATTTGCAAGCTCTCACAATTATGGCAAACGTTGGGGACGGAGAACTCAGCAGAATAGACAATAACATGGAAGCTAGAATGGGAAAGTGGTGCAATATACTGACACAATCGGACAATACGATTGTGTCTTGAAGACAATTGAGATTTTTGAATTGCCTTTGAATATCATAAAACCGGTAGATGGCACCACCCGGCAGACAATCTTTTGTTCGCATGACTGCAAAAAGTCTGCTAGACGCGTAGCTAGGCCCTAAAATATCGCAGCTTAAACCAGGCATCCCCGATTCACCTGCACTTATTTTTAGGTTAAAAGAAATTGACGCGGAGAGGCGGCCTCGATGGCAACTAGTGCATGCAGCTGAAAGCTCGTGTCGAGTTCCACAGCGGCAACACCAACTGTAGCCACACAAGCTTGACTCTGGTGCGAACATAGATGTTTAGCGGCGTATGATTTCTCTAGCACATATCTACCACTGCTCATGGCTTATGGACTGTGGGTACAGCATTCTCCGCGGTGTAGACCCTAAAATGACGATAAAATATATTGCATGGCGTGTTCAGCATTTACATAAATAAACATAACCAGTATACTTCTGACAGTACTGCGGTAAACAAATGCCCTATAAGTTGGTTCTTAGTGCATTAAAATACTTTAAAGAAAAGTGTATAAGCATATTGAAGCATCCACATACAGGTGGATGGTACCAACCACCTACACCTTGGCACAGGTGTAGGTGGTTGGTATAGTGGACCAGGTTGGCTGTAAATAAGGTAATTTCAATAGTCTCTCCCTAACGTTTCCTGTGAGATTTAGAAAATAATTTTTCTGGAAAGACCAGAAAAGTCTTACGGTGGTCTCGCCACCGTTGGAAACCCAGGAGGGGGTCTGGACGGAGGAGGTGGCGGAGGTCTGCAAGGAACCATATAGTGGTTTCAGAGGTGATATTTACATGAGTGACGATTGATGAGGGCGTTAATGTATTCTTGTGTCTTACGGTGGTCTAGCCAGAGGAGGTGGAGGAGGAAACGATGGTGGTGGTCGTGTCGGGGGACCTTGCGGTCTGCATCATATTTGTCAAGTGTATGTAGAGGTTCCAAGCATGCACGTTGTGCAAGCAGATACACAGATTACCGCCTTAGCAATCGTGAAATGAAACATTAGAAAAAGGACTTATAAAAACAGAGTGACTGTTTAGATTCCAATTCATGTAGAAAATCTTCGCAGTTGTGTTAAAGGTAGTCGGGAATGGCGAAGTAACCTCCGTCATTCACGATCAATTCCTTTAATGCTCGTATATTACCAAAACTTACGATTACCTCAAATTAAAAAAGTGAATGACACACTATTCTACAACAACAAGCACCTACAGTGTACGTTTAAATAGCACAATAAATGTGCTATATGATCAATCAGTCTACGCACTTTCACACATTTCTAGAGTAATCAAACTTAGCATTACCAAAATAGAAAAACTTCGAGCCCAATATGACAAATATACTTCACAAAAGGATGTTTCTTGTATAGCTAATTACTTTACTAAACTAACAGAAATGACGTCAACATAAGAACATACTGAGATTGGTGTTGATGTCATATTAAATTGATCTCAATTTGTTTGTCCTCGCGAACGAACTGCTAACGTCAGGCTTACGGGAACCTAAGCGCTCCTGAATATGTGATGTTGTGAACGGCTTTTGTAATGACGCTTTCTCTGCGAAAGGTTCAGTGTATGAATGCAGTATGAATCATATGAATGTCTGATATGAAACAGAACGCATGTCTGATGTGAAACAGGTTGCCTCTCTTTCTGGCAATTAGCATGTGAAAAATGTCTTATAGACAATGTCAAAATCACAAAGAACTCTCCACGATTGTGGTACGCACATGTACGTGACACTGGGTATATCTTACATACACAGATATGTATTAGTACCTGCATATTATGATATTTAAAGGCAGTTTTGTCTAAATGTTGATTAAACACGCAATAATCTATAGAAAACATAAGTACTGCTATGCTGGCCTAAAACTAATGTTGCTGATTGCTGTAGAAGAAACAATTGCGGCTTGGTCAGCGTTCCCACAGAAAATTCATAAGCTCAAAGAACTCAGAGTGCATACATACACGACACAACCACGAAATAACATAAAGGCCTTTCTGCCTCAGTATCAAACAAAACTGTGTAATCCTGCTAGTTTCTCAAAATGGTGGCAACTTCGCCTCAGAGAAAAGTTGTATGTCTAGAAATTGGTGCCATCGAAAGACTGCTGGCGCCATCGTTAAGGAGAGTCTGGAGCGAATATTTTGGGCGGAACTTACTCGTGCTCATTGTAGAAGTTCTCCAGAAGAGCCATGATAGCAAGGAAACAGTGTGAAATATCAAGGCACAAGAAAAGGGTAAATTTTAGTGGTGCACAATTCACGCGGAATGTCAGTGCGCGGCCTATTTTATAAGCCATTTATATAAAATGAAGGAAGGTAATTACTACTTACGGTGGTCCAGGGAAAGGTGGTGGTGCTTGAGGGGATCTTGGGGAAAGAAAAAATGGTGTGGAATAGCATTCAACAGTTAGTGCAGGTGGTGTATTCATGCATCAGAAATTTTGTTTGAAAGCCACACAATCTTACGGTGGTCTGGCCCCAGGTGGTGCTGGGGGCTGGTATGCAGGTGGTGGTCGAGGAGAAGGACGTTGGGGTCTGGGGATGTGAATGTACAAAGCAATCAGTCCTCTGCCGTCTCCTAGTTAATGCGGCAAATGCGCTGTAATAATTATTCCTTTTACGCTATCCTATCATATGGTATCATTTTATTATTACTGGTTCTCAATCTTCGACTCTCTATAATTGTAGACTTTGTACTTTTATTTGGAATAATAACAGAATGATAGTAGGGAATTGTGCTTTCGTACTACCTTGCTTCAAGAGAAAGAGATAACAATAGGTTAGATGAGCATGTTGTGTTGTAATTAGTTGGATGTATTTTATTAGATTATAGATGGAGAGGCAGTAAAGAAAAAAAAAACCGCACCAGTGAATATCAAATCGAAACAAGGCGATGGTAAAGGCAGCGGAAGATGACAGAGAAGGAGATTAAGAATGACGTAGGGCGAGATATAAACTATAAATCGAGTGTGTTGAAAGTCGCCAATAGCGAAGTCTTGCGTGACAGTGAGTTTTCATGTGAACGTCTGCTCTGTTCATGAAAATCACGTAAAGCGTCAGAAATTTATCATTCCAATGTTCTATACGTAATTGTATTCTTTAGAGTAATAAAGATGTATTTGATATCGTACCCCTGCAAAACCCGTGACTTTGCCCATGCAGCTATTTATGGTTGAAAGTGATGTTTTGTAGACTCATGGGTCAAAGAATGATTAAAAAATAACAAATGTTACACAATTTTCTAAAAATGCGCCACACATTGGCTATAGCTGTACGATTTGTCTCGCCTTATACAAACCATTCTACATTCTACATTATACATACTCAGTCAGACTCAGATTCACGGCTTGATCCGAGCATGAATGAGTCCTAGTGAGTCGAGTCATAAGTGAGTTTACCGAAGCTGCCCGAGATCAAGAAGATTTCGCTGATTGATTCTAGTCTTTGATTCTAGAGTCCAGACATCTTGGCTCAAGGGAATTCGCACTATTGTTGTAATCGATCTATGTGCCTAATTGAAGGACTGTGTATTGCTTTGTTATATGAATGCAGTATGACTGGTAGTTGCTTTAGTGGTATAGTTGAGGTAATAACGTGACTACACACAGACGTGAGTGTACCTTAGCAGTAGTTAGCGCGGTTTCATACGAACTTTTACGAATGATACCTATGATCCCTTCTGAACTCTTTCGGCTCAATTTGTCTGTTACCCATTTCATTAACACAGTGCAAATAGTAACGTAGAACAATACACAGCTGCACGAATCCCACCTTCACACCAGCGGGAATACAGGAAAATGTATGCAAAAAAAAAAAAATGGTTTGAGATATGCTAGAGTGTACAAAAACGTAAAAATATACACATACGGTGGTCTAGGTGAGGGTGTTGGTGGCTGATAAGGTGGGCCTGGGGGGCTGAAAGTGTAAAAAAATGAATTTTCTGGTGAGTTTTTGATGATCTTCATGATAATTGGAAAGAATTGGCTTTAATATCTTACGGAGGTGTTGGCCCAGGAGGGGGTCCTCGTGGAGGAGGAGGTGGCGGGGGTCTGTAAGGGAAGTATTGTGTGGGTGCATGGCTAATATATTATGACTGATGTAGTTTCAGAGAATGCAGTGGTTTTGCTTTTCTTACGGAGGTCTGGCCACAGCAGGCGGAGGAGGAAAAGAAGGTGGGGGTCGTGGTGAAGGAACTTGTGGTCTGCAAAATAATTGTTATGTTATTTTGAAGTTTAAAAGCCTTCGCATCGTCTCCTAAGTTAACAGTGAGCGTTGGTTAATTCTACTAAAATGCCGCATTTGCCTTCTACAACACAGCACGCTTGGTATTAGCTGCCGAAACATTACATACGCTACGCACAAAACAATTCATCCGCCAGATGTACTAAAGTGCTTATTTGGGCGGGTTGTTACATGGCCAACGAAGCGAAAAAACTGCGCGAAACGCGGGACAGGGAAAGAGACGGACGATGCGCTGACTTACAACCCTGTAATTCATCGTTATTTTTACCAGGAAATATGGATGGCCTCACCGCTTGCTGAGTAAAAATTTTTGTCTATTGAAACTTTCATATAACTCTAAACTAACTTTTTCAGGTTGGTTTTAGCTTCACAGTTCATTACTTTGAGCGTCCTGCCACCTAGTTCTCGGCGTATCGCTCTTTGTGGGTTAGGAACACCCATATGAGGTCATCGTCGTCGTCGTCGTTGTCGTCGTCGTCATCGTCGTCGTCGTCGTCGTCGTCGTCGTCGTCGTCGTCATCATCATCATCATCATCATCATCATCATCATCATCATCATGATCATCATCATTGTAATAATAATCATCATCATCAAGTCAGCACTCCGTCCGTCTTTTCCACTGTCCTGTGTTTCGCAGTGTTCTTCACTTCGTTTATCTATGAGAAAAGTAGGGGCCCAATGAAATGGTGTAGACCGGACACATGACACGTGTGAACATACATAAGGCACGCACTAGCACCCAGAGTCATTCAATTATATCAGTTGCGAAAATCCCCATTGGCTCCATGTATTGATTGATTGATATGTGGGGTTTAACGTCCCAAAACCACCGTAGATTATGAGAGACGCCGTAGTGGAGGGCTCCGGAAATTTCGACCACCTGGGGTTCTTTAACGTGCACCCAAATCTAAGCACACGGGCCTACAACATTTCCGCCTCCATCGAGAATACAGCCGCCCCAGCCGGGATTCGATCCCGCGACCTGCGGGTTGGCTCCATGTATCAAAATCCGGGAACATCATTGGCCCCCTTTCGGGAGTGAACAGATTGTCGCGCCACCGGTTAAATATAGACACGCGCTATCAAACGCATAATTTGTGTTTTGTGTTGCCGCTCTCAGGTGGCGCAACAGTCAGCTAGCTTCCGAAAAACTAGGCCAACTGCGTATGCAGATTTTGGAATGCAGTTACGCAACAGGTATAATTGAATATCTCGGATTAGCACCATGCTTGCATGTCTCGTATCATGTCATTTTTCAGGTGCAGTACACTCTTCTTCTGGGAAATGCTATATCAACAATCGAAACGTACAAACAAAATGCACACGAAGCACCTAGAAGTCAAAGTATACAATCAATAAAGAAAATCTGTGGTGTCGTGGGTGAATGAAGCGGAAACACGTATCTGAAAAAGAAATGGACGAAGAGGTTGGGGATGGCACACGGCTTAAGTTTGGTTTTAACTTGATAGCGTTGGAGAGCTCGTGTCGCAGAAAACCCGCCGCCAGCGTCGGCCCCGTTGGTTGTGAGCGAAAAATTGTCTGTGCGTCTGTGACCAAAAAATCAAGTTACCGAGATAGTTGCGGGAGGCCGCTACTTGTCCACGCGTGCGCACGCGATCACACTGAAAAAGCCGTGCGTTAGAAAAAAATCGAACTCAAGATCACGAGGCACGGTAGTTTCTTTGCCCTGCCACTCCTCCCTGCTTAGCTTCCAGCGCTTTCGTCGGGACGAGAGAAGAGACAATGCAATTGCAGCATGCGACAAACCTTTGTAACTCCACTCGCACTGGACCGATTCGTAAAGTTTTTGCGGCGTATAATTCGTGAGGCAATAAGCTCTTCTAGTGAATTCATTCCATGGTTACTTGAAAGAGTGTTTCAGGGCCCCTTTAATGCGTTTTGTTCGACAGGTGTCACGACGAAAACGAGCCCATTCGGCGATAATAGCGCGCGCTGGTCTAATCTACAGTGTGCGTGTTTGTGTGCGTGTGTGTGTATGTAACAAAACATATTAAAAAGCATGCACTTAGTGGTTGAAGGGTGCGCTAGCCGGATTTCGCTATCGCGTTGAACTCTTAAAAGCGAAGCTTAAGGGTCCCCAATTTTTTCCCTTTGAAAGGGTTGAAGATGGCGGCCTTCCGCTTAGTCATGGAGGTAGGAACTAAGCAGCAGATAAGCCCCGCCGCGCTTATCTAGTGGCTAAGGTACTCGGCTGCTGACCCGCAGGTCGCGGGATTAAATCCCGGCTGTGGCGGCTGCATTTCTGATGGAGGTGGAAATGTTGTAGGTCCGTGTGCTCAGATTAGGGTGCACGTTAAAGAGCCCCAGGTAGTCGAAATTTCCGAAGCCCTCCACTACGGCATCTCTCATAATCATATGGTGATTTTGGGACGTTAAACCCCACATATAAATCAATCAGCAGCAGGTAAAGCTAATAATCTTACACTGATCGAACATTCTTAGATGAAAGGCACAAGTCTGACTTGCTTTGGTTGTATACCCATCATATAAGATTCACCCAAGATCTTCCGTCAACATGCTTTTTTGAGACGCTGGTGTGTATTACATTTGTGAGTCAGATACCATTATTCACGTTTTTTTTTTCTCGGGAAAGCAAGTTTGAAAAAAAAGTATGAAGTTTGAGCTCGTCGATGGGGTCACCTGGCACAGTTAAATGCTGTCCTAATGCTGTGGATACTGTATTCGGCAAGTCCACTCATTGTTCGTTTAGTCTGATATTAACAGGCTTTCCAGTTTCGCCGGTGTACTGTTTGTGCAAAAGCAAATATTCGAGCAAGAATAAAAAGAGAGCTAATTCATATAAACTATATTTTATAACATAAACGAAAGCACTTCCCGTACTTTCAACTGTAACGTCCTCATGAATGTTTTTGAATGAAATAAGAAAATGTTGACCACTCGTTTCTTTGCTTGGCGCAAACTTGATGACAACCAGCACATAATGAAGCCACGGAAGGTATAGGGGAGGTTAATTGTGCTAGTGTTTTAAGTGTGGTGTAGTAAATATAATATAAATGTGAAAAAAAAACAAAGTGGGCAAAATACAACTAAATAATAAACTAAATATATGCAGGGGCAATTAGCCAACCAGTCCAGATTGCCATCGTTTTCTAACGGTTTCGGCCCACCGCCAGGGACGAAACCACCACACAACATTTCCCCTAGCATATCTGAAACGTAACCAATACTGGCCATTTTTAGGGGAGTAGTTCTTCAATATTTGCCACTGCAATTGAAATTAATATTGCGGCACGTTGTAGCAGCCACAAAGAAGAAGCGCGAGCGAGGTCTTCGGTGAAGCCGAGGATGTAAGGTGAGGTGGATAAGCGCCATTTTCGAGACGTCGTGCTGAAGCTGTTTCAATGAGTATTTTGGCTGACAAGTAAGACGTTGGTTCTCCTCTTGTGAACGCTAATTATTAGCAGGAGTAAAGAAGCAATTTTTCTCCATTTCCAATTACTGAGCCCTGATGACCTAGTTTGATGCCACGTTAATTAATCCAAAAATGTTTGCACCACTGGCTCAATATTTCATTTGTCGTCTTCTGAGGTCCTAGTTATAAGAAAAACACGCACAAAAATGTATCCAACCAAAATAAAAAATCCAGGGCTGAAAAGGTTAATAATGTGTTTCGGGGTTCTGTATTCATCCTTGATACGGCATAAACAATGAAAATCTCAAGACTGTTGTACTAAAACCATGTTCATAATCGAACACATCTTCTTTAGATCCGTCTGCATATCGCATTCACAACTTCATTTGACACAGGATCTAGGGTAATACAGCGTACAAAAAAAGGAAGGGCGTGACGCCATCATGCGGAATCGTCGATATCACGTTCGATGCGCCTTCGCTTTGTTTTCTGTATATTGTATCTGGCGTTTACATTGTTTGCAGGCTTTTTTTTCCTCTCTAAGCAACTTTCAAGATTTTTAAGACGCATTGGCAGAGGCAGTATAAAATACCAGACAGCTGTTCTAAGCAGTTCATTGCTTTAGCGAGGATTAAATAGCGTGGTGGCTGCCATTGTCGTCTACTGCTGTCATCGATACCGAAGTACTATATATGACTCCCATGGTTTCTTGAAGGTTGCGAAGCCATTTTACGTACGTGGCATTGTTTAACTACTGCTTTGCGGAAATTACGGTGTGGGCGTTGGTTCTTGTGAGAGAAAAATGAGCTTTGACTGTAAGTTTGAGATAGATGGAAATAAAGACACAATAAACATCTTCTATTCAAGGAAAAATCGCTCTTGTAGGACTAATGCGTGGCAAGCAGGTGTTCTCTTTGAGAGAAACGCTTATGAATAAAGTTTTTTCTTTTAGAAAGAGACCCCATAAAATGTCGTTTAGTTTGAGGGTGTGTCGTTAAAGCATGTTATATTGCACGCAGAAACGTAGAATCGCAGCTGGCGTCAAAGCATGAATTGTGTAACGAGTACTTCATTTAAATAAAGACCCGCTAATCACAAAGCGCACATGCGTGATTGTTATTATATATATATATATATATATATATATATATATATATATATATATATATATATATATATATATATATATAATTGTCTATAGCTGCACAGGTGTATAGCCGTCAGCGTGGCCAGAGCTAATTTTATTGTTGCCAGCCGCGAAGTGCTGGGCGCTTTTGCCGAGATAATACCTCGGTAGGCTTGAGATAATATGTCGGCATGTGTGGCTAGCATATTGGCAACAGAACCCAAATCTACGTGGTGTCAGCTTCAATCGAACTGCTGCAGGACACGCGGCGGAGCGTTCGTGTTAAATGTTCTGACGGCTGTACGTGTTGCCTGACGGATGTTTAGTGGTTATTTCGCCTATTTTCAACGAAATAATTATGGCGTATTTCACTGCTGTACTTGTAGCAGACATTCTAGGAGAATTCGTAACTTACAATTTTACATGCGCAGGCGTTTTTTTCCCTACGGCATGCGAACCTAGGTTAGCGATTGCAAAATTGATGCGCTCGAACTCTGATTACAATATCGCGTTCTACCCTTTATATTGCAGCTAAAGTGAGCGTCCGCGAAGGTCTTAAGATAAATATTGTCTCTTTTTTGTGTTTTCAGTAAATAGACGCATTCCAGCGGTTACAAGGATGTACAGTGCGTCAATTTATGTGCTGAGCGTTGTCTTAAGCAAGTGGGTCGATAGGAGAATAACGAGACATTCACGAATGTTGCACTCGTTCACACGCTCCTCACAGGGAATGACACAAGTTATTTCTCCGCTTCCCGACAAACACTTGCTTACGCTTAGCACTTCTGCTTCAGTTATCGAACATAACTTTTAGCAAAAACACGCACGGTTATATTTGTTATTTGTTTCGCAGAAATTTTCAGCATTGGTTTCTAGCGAAGTATTTACTACAGTTTTTAGAGCACAGGTATTTTAGTCAGAATCTCTTTAGAACTGACTATTCTATGTTGCAGTGCGAACGATTTCGAACCTGATTACACTATCATGCTCTGAAGAGCTGCTTGTCCTGAAGCCGCTTTTGCAAACTTTCTCAGTTGAAATCTACAGGCTCGTTCACTCTTATGGTGAACATGGCAGTGCGTGCCTGTGCTCCGCAGGATGTCAGTGCCTCCGGCGAGGTGGCTCGTCGAAATGAATCACTCTTGTTCCATTTCACAGCAAAGGAAGAGCGGCAAGCTCCGCAGCGGTAATAGCCAATGCAAAGCACCCTGTGCACTTGTGCGGTTTCGCTACGATGTGCGGTCTGGCGGGATGCCCTGGCGCTACGCGGAACAGGGTCACGTTAATCCGTGTTCACCATAAAAGTGAATGATCCTTTGCACGTAAGCTATTACAACGGATTCGAAATTCGCTGCAAGGCCACGAGAGGACCAAGCAACGAAGTTATAGATCAAATTAAACTCTAGCGTAGCATTTGCGTTACAATTCTCCAAGTTGTCGCTCAAGAAGTGCTTGTTGAAAACATGGCGTCGAACCTGCGTTTATTGGGGATTTCATTCTCAATGAATGAAGCATCGCGATCTTTTGTATTATTGCGTAAACGTGTATTGCGGGCAGGCTCTTTCAGGCAAATGGTACATTGCGACACACAGTACCAGTCTTATGCCGACAATTCACTTGTGGAGAGAAGAAAGCTAGATTCAATTTAGCATGCCACTGTGAATGCAGCACTCTTATGCGCAGTGGTTGACCTCACGACCACTACAATTGTAAAATTCGAATTTCAGCAAAAATAACCGTATAGAGAAATCGAAGAATACGTCTTGACGTAGATTCAGAGAGTGACTTGGGAGGGTGTTGAAATTTCTTGCCCGAGTTTCGGATTGTATGGATTGACGTGTATACATGAACACATTGGAAAGATTGCACGATCATAAAAAAGTAGTTGAACCCTCACTCCTTCTCTCGCCCCAACGAACAAAATTTCTGGATAAGCCCTTGACATACCGCGGTATGCAAGACTGTACGAAAGTATTGAAAAAAAATCGTACGGTGGTCTAGGCGAGGGTACTGGCGGCTGATAAGGTGGTCCCGGGGGGCTGAAAATGTAGAAATAACGGTTTTTTTCAGCTAGCTGTTGAGGACTTTCAAGTAAGCCCGAAGGATTGGGTTTGAAAGACTTACGGAGGTCTCGCCACAGGAGGAGGCCCAGGAGGGGGTCTTCGTGGAGGAGGTGGTGGGGGTCTGTAAGAGAGGTTCATGTGGGTTCATAGCTGAGGTAATGTAAGTTTAGATAGTGCAAGGTTTTGGCATTTCTTACGGTGGTCTGGCCACAGGAGGTGGAAAAGGGAATGAAGGTGGAGGTTGCGGCGAAGGAAATTGTGGTCTGCGAAAATTGGTCAAGTTATTAAAGTCTTCACATAGTGGTTTAAGCCGAAGAGAAGGTGGTTCTTCAGCCCACCTAAATATATCGTTCATGGTCTATAGAATACCGGAATTAATATTGTTTCCAAAGTGTTTTTTAACGGAGCCCACTAATGAATGATTGGTGTAAAAAATGGTCGTCGGAAACTCCTACTTCACCAATAAAGCTTTATACACCAAATAGTTTGAAATTAACACCAAATGAAACACGCATAAAATAACAGACGATTCCCTCACGACATTTTAACTCTTGTAGAAAGAGTAAATATTACTCACTAGAAGCTCAAACTAGAAACTTCATGACTGCTTGTCTTGCGATTCACAGTTATTGAAAGCTACAAAACTGAACCTATAGAAAAGTTAATCTTTGTAAAAAAATGAAGTCCCCAAAGAACATAATTTGCGGCTAAATTACGGATTTCTTTCATTGCATAAATGAGCAGAAAAATCAGATATAATTGAATCTATAGACTGCTATTGGTTTGCGGCCACGGAAAGAGTCTAACGTATTGATTAATTGTTTACTGTGCAACACTCATTTGAACACAGAATCAAAGCTGAGCCATGGCACAGGCAAGCGCATAAATGTAATCCTGCATGAGGTTCCAGATGCTTGCTAAACTACAGCGAAACATCAGAAGTGTGATTCCCTAGAATTATTCACGGTACAGCCTTCACAAGACGTCACGCACACAAACACCGCCGACAGAGCTGTTCTGAAGGTAACGTCAGTGTGCCTTGCGCGCGCCCACTCATCCGTCCACGCTTGCCCGCTGCTCTGGGAAGTAGCTGATCACTGCAAGCTCTCCAAATGTATCTGATGTCATTAGAGTGGCGGGTTTACCCTCTGCACATTAGTTAGGCAGTATGCGCACCTACATGGAGCGCATTATGTTCATATCATGGCTGATAATTATAAAGATGTTGATGCTGATGCCGATGGTGCATTATGGCTAAGCGCTTTGTGATGGGTTAGCAGCTTTCAACTACTTGCTCGTGTCGGAAATTCTGTCGTCTGATTCCTCGTGCGATTCCGCGCTTCTTCCCCTCATTATGGCATCTGTTAAAGGGCTTTCAAAGCACCAAAAGTTGAAAATTTTGTTGTGGTTTTTCAGGTGTGCACGATTCTACAGCCAGTACGTAGCCATGAAAACTTTTAGAAATGATGCCATGATAACGGAGTTACACGGGTTTGATGATACGAAAGTGGCTCTCGATCGTTGGGCTTTCTTTTTCGCTATGCTCCGTTTCATGGCTCGTCTTGCCTCCGACTCGCTTGGTGGAGTCCGCGCTGAACGGTCGTGTCGTCCGGGAGCTCCAACTCCAGCGTAGCTCTCGCCGATCGGACCGCAGTTTGTGATCTGCTTACACCATGTAGCTCTCGCCGAGCGGTGCCCCGTCCTAGGACTCCTTTGACCGCGTCTCCCATCTTTCCTATCCTTTCTCTCTTCTTTCTGTCCCTCCCGTGCAGCGAGCATTGCCGCTGTTTCATTATATTTTTACTATTCATTTTATCTATCTTCTCCCATCTTTTACACGGAGCTTAGCCATGTCGCCAGATTAGGCAAGCAGAAATCACCTCCCTTTTCCTTTCTCCAAATACCAAGCATTCATTCGTCTTTCCTCATGACCGAGGAATCCTCCTCGCCGTGCGAGGAGTAAAAGTGGCGAGCGCATGTGCCCATGAGAAGACGAACATGCTCTTTTTGTTAATGACGAGCAGATGACAATATTGACGCCACGGCGAACGCGCAAGGGCGGTGGGTTGGCGTGAGGTCCGGAGAAGAGAAGGGATAGTGTCTTAAAATTGGCGGGACTCCTGCGGCTCGTAGCGCTATCGTGCGTTTGAAGTTGTTGATCGTCACGACATTCTGAGCTCGGTGGGCGCATGTACATGAAATTCTCAAAATTGTTGGAGATAGTATAGTTTCTCCTTAACGTGACTACACTAACAAATGTAATACGTACCGAGTACGTAGAACATTATGTTTGATATCTCAGAAAAGTAATATGAAAGTTACAGTATGGCATATTTACTCTAAATATTTGAGGTTTCTGAGCAGGTATCTATTTGAGGGGCCCACGTAGGTGCGCGTATTGCCTGACAGATGCATAGCAGGTAATTTCTAATGGCTTGACACTTCTCTAAAAGACAAACCCTGAAGTGCTCGCATAACATGTCCAAAGAGTTGGTTTAGTGCAAAGCTTTAGTACTTCCTCGTAGTGGCTCATTTTTCTTACGAGTGTAAGCACACTTTGAGGTTCTTGTGTTAGAAGGTAATACTTGACGAATCTAATGTTGTGACTGCACGTTTATTACAAACGCTCTAATTATCATTATTCACATGTAAGCTATAGAGTTCCTTACGGTGGTCTAGCAGAAGGAGGTGGAGGAGTGTAAGCAGGTGGTGGCCGTCCGGCGGGTCGTCGAGGACTGTGAAGAGGCAGAATTTGTTTTGGCAATATTCATCGATGACCATCAATATGAATAGTTTATTAAAGACGAAACTGAAGTACTAGCCTTATTTGTGATTTTGCAAGGAATGTGAAATGATAGTCGAAATTAGGCGCTAAAGTATCGTCACTCTGCATTATAAGGCACAGGATAGCAGTTCTGTGTGTCTGATTCTTGTTAATGCATACTATCGCAGTGCTGGACACTATAAGTACAAAACGAAATTTGCACGCAGCAGTGATGAGTTCTTTTTATTTACACTCACACTTTTTCTTCGCGTCAGTGATGAAGATTGCCGGCACTTTAGCACCTATTTTTGATTATTACTTCTCCTAATTGATTGGATATAGATTATCCTTGTTGGTGCTTATGTATTTCGTTGTTATCTTGTAAATATAACATGACGTCAAGTTCTAACATGAAATTAGGTTCTAACAAATGAAACGTTCACTGTACTGTAACCACTCCTGCCTTGGTGACCAAAAGGTTGCTGGGTGTTTTGAATAAAACGAGCATGGCAAGTGCACGAGTGGCGCGTTGCACTACCTGAGAGAGGGCTAGCTGGAGGGTGGACTCTCGCGCGTATAACAGTTTCCTTTTGTGTCTAATTTTTGTCGACGTGCATGGGCGTGGTTTTCGCTAGGACATTTTTCTGCCAAGATAAGACAGTGGAGACAGCATAGACGGTCCTGGATAACTTGAGCGCTTGAAGTAGTTCCGTATGGAAGCAGCTGAAAGACCACCTAGACACTAGAACTTTTACTCTTACGCTTGAGCCACTGGCCACGTCTTCTATGGCTAATAAGTAAAACGCCACATCCATCAAGTTCATAACACGCTATGGCAGAATAAAAAGCATCGGTAAAGCAACATTGATCGAGGCAGGTTATATCCAACATAGTTTCAGGCATGGAAAAACACGCGTTGAGACGAGACTTTGGGAAAATGATAAGCGGCGTTTTCTCTGTCCTATCCTTAAAAATTGTTTCATTCTGTCACAGTGATACACTAGTGAGTCTAATTGTAAAATGGCTTTCATAGCATCAAGCTATTATAGGGTGCTTCATATATCATCAGTGGTATGGGCCAGGCTACTACGGCGAAGATCGTGCGACGGATACAGCAATGCAGCCAGTCAAATCAGTGGACGACGACTGCCTAACAGTGGCGTCAAAGGCGTTACGTAACCTCACCTAACAACGTTTGGATAAGCGGACCTGCATTGAACAAGTTGCAGTCATGAATATAAATTCGCTCTTTGAAACATTGGTGCCAGCGACACCCCTCGTTATGAATTTTCATTTATTCTAGCATTACAGCCACACCAAATATTTAATACAGCAGGAAGCTATTTGAAATCACTCTAGCGAAATGGCAGCCGCAATGTAGCAGAAAGCTGAATCGCAGTGCATTGTAGCACTGTAGCGAGATGGTAGCCAGACAAGAGTACAATATAATTGTTGAGTACAATCTAAGGTTGCGGTCATCTGGGCTGCTTGCTCCTGGGTCCCCAGATCCTGCGAGCTGGCTGGCACCGACCGCCTGCCTCTTCCTTGGCCTACCGAAACTCTTCTGAGGCCTAACTTGGATGAAATCGGCGCCTCAATCTGGCAACGCGGAACTTCCGTATCGCCTCATGACGTCAACTGGGGAGTATATAAGCGCCATCCTTCAGCCGCCTACTTTGGGTACGACGCCGCATCTGGGATGGGTGACTCACGACCACTGCTGTTACAGGTTACTTATATGAGGGGTGCTGCCTGTACCAAGTGTAGTCATTCCTGTCTCATTGCGGTGTCGTGCCCACCAGAGTTTCGCGATGTGCTGAAGCGAGTGTTGTGTTTGCCGTATAAGTTGTGCTCTGAAGCCTTGAGGACATTGCTTATGCTTTCTGGTGACGTCGAGTCGAATCCGGGACCAATAAGCAAAACTGAAGCTGATTCGTTTGCTTCGGCATTAGAAACAATAAAAAAACTTGAAGCTGATCACACCGCGATGTCAGCTGACCTGAAACGACTAAGTGGCGAGCACGAGACTACTAAAAATGAGATCAAATTACTCCATGCTAAAATCGCTGCCCTCGAGGCCACACTTGCTTTGCAAAATAACGCAGGAAGACCCACTGACAATGCTCTGCTGCACGTTTCGGATCGGCTGACGGAAATCACGTCTAGATTCGACAATGCTGAAAATAGGCAGCGGCGGTCAAACCTTCTCTTCTTTGGAATTGAGGATAGCGAACCAGAGGATTGGGCCCAGTTCGAGGAAAAAATAATTAACTTTTGTTCTGAACGACTCGACATAACAACAACTAGTGCACAGTTTGAACGGGTTCACAGGCTTGGCAGGTTCACCGAGGGAAAAAACAGACCAATAATTGCAAAACTAACCTTCTTCAAAGATGAACAGCAGATTTTGTCCTCTGCACGGAAACTAAAAGGTTCAACGTTTTCAATCGGTGAAGATTTTTCGCTGGCGACGCGACAGGCCAGGCGCAAATTAGTGAGCTTTGCCAAAGCCCAAAATAAGGCTTTCAAAGTGTCAGTTGACAGGTTGCACATTGATAAAAAAAACATACGTCTATGACATCAACACGGACGCAGTTGTGCTATTGTCGTGTGTTAGGTTCGTCACATAGCAAGGCGTGTGACGCGAGGAAGATGGAGACAGTGAGCAAAACAAACGGGAGTTATATGGGACAAACAAAAAAAACTATTGCACATACAGTACTATAAGTCGTACACGCACGCAGTTCACACACGAAAGAAAAGAGTAAATAGTCTCACAGTCTGTGCCGTAGCCCGGTGCCTTGAAGTGGGACCCGTTGCGTGCTCGGATGTTGTCGTCGGTTGGATTCCAGGTCAGCATACCACTGTAAGGGGCATCACCAGGTCTAGCAGTAGCCGCACACTGTCAGCGACGGCGGCCCAGTGGACGTGGTCAGCAGCTCCGGTCTTTCGAGGGCGCTCGCCGTACCGGAGATGTCCACAGGACCACTCACCGAGAACTCGCGCCTGGCCACGCCGACACGCCGTGCCCCGAGGACGTCAATGGCTCGAGGACTGGAACCCGGCATTTCGAACCTCGCGCGTAGTTGCGGGTTCGCCCTAGGCTCCCTTGCGTCGTCTTGCCGGCGTCCGAACAGCTTCGTTCTCCGCGAGCGTCTCCTCTTCTTTTTTCAATGGGCGCGCTGCAATGCCTCTTCATTCTTCTCATCTTCTAAATGATGTGGTGCTGTCGTCTGCTATGCTCGCATTTTTAAGGTACTACATCACATCACCCCCCACTTAAGAAAGTTCTTCCGGTAGAAGAACTTGAGGGCACTGGGGACACGTTGGTTCGCAGACGGAAACACACACGTAAGCACCACTGCACACTATAGCAGTTCCGAGCCCCGCACACTCAGCACATTCGGTCACAGAAGTACAAACCAGAAAAAAAAACATAAACAAGTCACAGAACTAAAGAGTCATGATATTTGTATCGCGCTGGAAGGTTTACATCTTGAGCTATTAATACCACTCAGCATCGATTCTTTATGCAGACGTTGCTCACAGAGTTGGCAAACGGCCCACGTAATCTACGCACTTCCATAAAGATGAGGCTCCATCGTAACACGCAGCTGTTCACATGCTTCGCTGACGTGATGTACACAAGCGGTTTGTGGTCCCTCTGTAGAATGAATGTGCGTCCGAATAAGAAGATATGAAGTTTCCAGACCGACCACGTAAAAGGCAGGGCCGCTCGCTCCACTGTAGAGTAAGCAGCTTCGCATGGTTGCAGTATACAGCTTGCGTATGAGACTGGGTGCAGTATTCTTTTCGTTGGAATGGAACGCATGGTAGCTCGTCGCTTTCGGTGTCATCCACCCGGCAAACAGCCGATGCTTCATGCGGTGGTGCAGGCAGCGGTTCCTCATACTTTTTCAATAGGTTGATATGGAATATTGTGCTGCTGGTACCGAGATCTATTAAATAATCGACATCATTTCTCTTCTCAAGGACATTAAAGGGTCCCTTCCACGTCAGAACCAATTTGTTGGTATCCGATGGAAGCAGAAGCAGAACCTTGTCTCCAGGGGATAATTGACGTGGTCTGGCCTTTTGGTCATAATGCTTCTTTTGTACTAGCTTCGCTTTCTGAAGCTCCTCCTTTGCTAGACGGCAGGTGTCTTCAAGACGATTCCGCAGTTTGACTACGTACCCGTAGGATGTTTTTAAATCATCATCAAGATGATCAGCGGCCCATATTTCTTTCGATATCACCAGGGGACCTCTGACGTAACGGCCGTAGAGCAAGTCGAACGGGGAGAAGCCTAAGCTCGACTGGGGAACTTCGCGATAGGCGAAGAGTAAGGGTGCCAGGTACCGATCCCATTTCTTCGGACACTCCTGACACATTCTTCTTATCATTTGTTTCAGGGTGCCGTTGAACCTCTCTACAAGGCCATTAGCCATGGGATGATATGGGGTTGTTGGCAATTGTTTGAAGGAGAGAAGTCGGCTTATCTCCTTCATTAGGCGTGACGACAATGACGTGTCTCTGTCACTGATTATCTCCCGTGGGACACCTACACGAGAAAACATCTCCAGAAGTGCCTCAGCGACTTTCTCCGTCTCGATGCTCGGCAGTGCTACAGCATCGGGATAACGCGTTGCCATGTCCACCATTGTCAGTACGTACTTGTTTCCGCCCTCTGACATCTGTGATAATGGACCCACTATATCAATGGCTACTCTCTTGAAAGGGGTGTCAATTATAGGAGTGTTGCCGAGAGGTACACGACCCACCAAGTGCTTGGGAATAGTTCTTTGACATATATCACACGATTTAACAAATCGTGTGATGTCTGACTGAACCCCTGGCCAGTAGAACTCTTCGAGTACCCGGTCGGTAGTTCGTTTAATTCCCTGATGGCCCGAAAGGATGCCTTCGTGGCCCATTTTCATAACAAATTGTCGGAGGCACCTTGGTACCAC